CCACATTGCCTATCACCTGTTGCTGGGTGAGCTAGCTCGTGTTCATAACCTGCTTTAAACAGCACTGGCCTGATTTTCAGCCTAACCTCAACCTAGTCTGTCTCTTTTAGTGGGCCTATGTGGCTGTGCTTTGTCTTGAATCAGGTGGTAAATGGATTGAGGTGGTGGCTTTTGTAGAGCATCTAGCACAGTGGCACCCTAATCCAGATGTTGCCTCCTGAGAGCAGCTGCAATGCAAGGACACGGTGGCAGTCATCTGATTAGGCCTGCAATTATTCCAAGCTATGTGGCAAGATTAGGGCCCCCTTCCTGCTTACTTAGGCTTTCTCTCTTGGACTTGCCTCTTGGCACATGCTCAGCACCACTTTTTAGATGCACACATGCCTTGTTCCCAGGATGTGATGAGTATGGAGCAGGAGTGGACGGGTGGGGGATGCTTCACGGTGATGTTTGGGGGCATGGCACAGGAGCAGTGTGGACAAGCCCCAGGTGACCTGAATTACTCCCTTCCCGCTCACTCTTCCTCAACCGTCCTCCCCACCAAAAGCAGGTGAGCAATCACACTGATGGTTATCATGCCAGCAAACAGGAAGGTCAGCTCTGAAAGTCTGATCCCTGAAAGTTTTCTCTGTCCTCTGCTTCAAGGCCCACTGATGTGAATGGAAGGAGTCCACCTTACACGGATGGACTTGGGCTGTGCTACATAATGGTTCCCCGTGTTTCGTGTTCAACCTGCCAGCTTTCAGGAGCAGCTGTGCAGTTGTTGGTGTGCGAGGGCTTGTGTGCGCCCAAACAGCAAAGGCAAAATAGAGAACAAAGCTCTGATAAATGTCTTTTCTGGTGCTATTTGTAGTCAGGGGCAGCTGGGAGAGTAGCCTGATGCTCAGGAAGGCCTGGCCATACTGTGCTCAATGTGTTTTCTTGTTCTCTCCTTGCAGCTACCCAGATTGATCCCAACGAACTGCAGGAATTGTTTCAGGAAACTTCAGCCAACGTCTTCCGAATTAACTCCAATGGTGCGTATAATGAAAGGCTTCCCAGTCGATTGTATGCCATCCCGCTGATGACTTGTATGCATGTACGCGGTGTTCAGCGAGCCCCCGTTGTCAGGGAGCAGATATTAATGCATTTTTACTGCCGTGCCTCATGAGCTCCAGCACACGTACAATGCACATTCCTTTATAAGATGTAAAAATATTCCACCATATGTTGCATTAAAAAGCACAGATCCATTCTGAACCTTGCTGAGACCACATCCTTTTCTATTTTTAATTGTGTCATCTGGTACACAATAAGGAATTAGGAGGCAGAAAGGTGGAACGAGCCAGACTAGTTCTCTGAAGTGTTGCAGTGCTGCAGAGTTCAGAGCCTGTCATATTAGCATGCAAAACAGATGCTATTTCCTTTAAAAAAAAAAAAAAAAAAAAAAAA